CAGCCATTCTCACTTCTAAAAATCAGCTCTCTCTGTGCCTCAGATACCATGAGTTTCTTGTTCCATCTCTTTTATTCCTCCTTAGCTTAAAAAAACTAATAAAAAAATCTGTAATGATGGTATTTAGATGGGTTGCCTCTATTTGTCCCATTTATCATAGTAAAACCACTGCAAACTAAATATTAAATGTAGTAGTCTGCAGAATTAAGTGGACAGAGGAATAGTCTAGTATAGCAAGTAAAAATGATGGTAATCCTTTCAAAAATATAAGTGATGCTGAAGTCTGTCTCCAATTTTTAAATATTCATTGTGCTAAGTTTAGGCACTGGACAACTTGACATTATCAGGGAAATCCTGAACCTCATCTCTCCCTCCCTTCCATTTGTTTCTGCCTGACTTGATGATGAGCAGTTCTCTGCAATGTAAATCAAGAGGAAAATCTTTGGTAAAGTTACTTTACTTGCTGTTGACCTAGTTCCCTAAACCACCTCTTGGATGGTGCAGAGTGGGTGGTGGGAAGACATAGCACAGGGTTACAGAGAAGGGAGCAGCCTGCCCATTTTTGGCAGTATGCAATGCCCAAAATCCACAGATAAAAGAAAAATACTTGTTTTAAAAGGAAAATTGTTCCAGCCTTTTGATGACTCACTCTCCTCTTCCTGTTGCTCACCGATGGGAAGAAGGTAAGTGCTGTCATACTTGTGCCATTTCAGGACTGTGGATTCAAAGGGCTCTTACAAATGCTGAGATATACAGGAAAAAAAAATACAGTAAATTACAGTACTCAACAAACTCAATTGCTAAATAAAGCTGTCTCATGGTGGAGCTATCTCACATGGCCGCAATTACTGTATGAAATATAGCCTGAAATAGTAAAATTATCAGTGGAGGCACAGTTTTCATATCAGTTAGCTGGGAAGAGAACACTAAATACAGGTTGTGGGCTTTTCTGATGAACAGGCAAAAATGGGCATTCATGTCTTTGAATAACTGCCATCAGCAGTTTGTGTATATCTGGTTTGCCTCAAGTATAAATGACTTACGTTGAGAAAAATAAGAGTGAAATGAACGGTGTTAGGATGTGTTAGCTTGCATGATCAGACCTGTGTATTTTCAGATGAAATGATGAAAGAAAAAAAAATAATGGCATATATAATAAGGCAAGTGCTGTGAAGTATTATCCTGAAGAGCAAGAATCTCACATCAGGAAAAGGGTTTCTGTATGAGCAAAGAAGGTGTGGCTGAAACAAGGATTGTCCCTTAGCTTACTACAACAGAAGTAGTCACTTATGCTCTTTGGTGGTGGGGATTTTTTTATTTTTTTTTTTTTTTTTTTTAAAAAAAAACTTGCTCCAGAGATATCTAGGTAATTTCAAAACCAGGAACAAATACTGTATACATTTTAACTATTTTCTTTTCACATAATATTTTTTTCTACTTGCCATCATAATTTATAAAACATTTTTAAAATGTGGTGGAAACAACCAGGATCTGAAAAGTAGTCTACTGCTGCTATTGTAGTGGTAGCAGCTCGTAGTGTACAGGGCAGTGCTCCTCCAAAACAGAGATGTTTATTTAAAAATAGAAGTTAAACCCTCTACTCTGGCAGCAAGTGCTTCTCCTGTAGAGACCTATAGCTTGTAAATGTTCAGTGCCAAACAATAGAGCTTGCAAAGCAGAGAAAAGCCAGAGACTATGAATGTTGCCTGGAGCAGACATGATCCAGTCTCCAGGGATTGATGGTGAGCGTTGCTGCGCAGCCCACTGAACCACACAAGCATACCTCACAGCCTACAAAAATATACACCGCCAAAAAGCAAAGCAGAAGAAGTGAATGCTGTTTGCATGAGCAAATGCTCCACAGATGTCCACACAGGACAGACACATTGAACCAGAGCATACAGAAGAGTGTGGGTGCCTAGGAAAGCTCTTCATGGAAGGCCCAAAGACATGTCTGAGCAGCTGCTGACCAGTAGCTGGAACTCTAATGTGAGTATGTGAAAATGGGTGAATATGAGAAGACACACTACAGCTGTGCCCTCCAGCAGTCGTGGTTTGACAGGGTAAAGTAAAAGCTGCAGTCCAGTTCACAGAATAGGGAACATTGAACAAGGTGAGAGGAGAGCTGCTTTCTGGCGTTAGATTTTCCCATCCTCATCCCTGCTATAGCACTTCTGAAATTAAAAGCTTGTTCTGAGTTGGGAAACTGAAAGCCACCTCAATTGTCAGGCTGTGCCTGTACTTGCACACAGTTCAGCAAACAAAACACATTGTTAAGGGTGAAAGTGGCTCCCTTTTCCTTTCACCGGGGGCGCACCCTCTGCTGTACACTCTGTGGCTTAATAGGTACAAATTTGGGATTTCTATTATCCACCCCATGGCCTTTACAGATGCTAGATTTGTTTCTTTACTGCTTATCAAGTCTACTATTCAATAAAGAGTAATGGTTTTATACAATTGAATTATATTTGATATTGTGCATTATGATTGTCTAACAGACCGTGAATGTTCCTCTGGGCAGATTCCGTATTTTATTCATCTGACATAGTAAAAAAGTGGGTATGGAAGATCTATGAGAATAGCCTGTGCATGTGCCATGGGCCTTGTTGCCATGACCTTCAGAGAATTAAAATTAAAAGCTGACCCTCAATCATCTTTTACATCCTATTGTCTGGTTAAAATCCATTTCTGAATGTCTGAATACTCTGGGGTCTGACTTACAGACCAGCAAATATGTAATTCCTGACTGTTCCTCAGATCTCTTCCTCTGCCATACCCCACCTCAGACCTCAAATTGTTTACACTGCTGCTCTGAATGTTTTCATCAAAATTAAGTTTTAGCAAAATGTGCCTTCTCAAATCTTTTCTCCCCTCCTCCACATTATATGCAGTAGACCTTATGTTCAGACTCAGGTAAAAAAACTTTGGTCTCACCCAGCTACAGAAATAGATGTGACTGTGCTTTTTAAAAGGATATTAAACCACACCAATCCTTGGGCTCCAGAAACATGCTTCTGTGTTTTGGCAGACTAAAATGTCTTTCAGTACTATTTTGGTATTGAAAAATAAGCAGAAAGTTTTGGGTTCTTCAGGTATATCCATAGATGCTCATTAGCAATGGACTGTGGTGGGAACTTTGCTCACTCCCAGACCACTGCACTATGACAAGGTCTTATTTTCCTGTAATATTTTGGGATCTTTGTCTTCACTTGACTATGAGAATCACCTGATCTGATATTACAGCTAGGTTTGTTAAAAATGTATTATGTTTTATTGGATATATTTGAAATAGTTTTTGTATTTGTTTTTAATTTGGCTTCAGTTATCTAATTTGTCCCAATCACATTAATGTTTAAATTTAAAAGAACTGCTTGAAACATGGTTTTAGACTTGAACTCATATTGCTTCGGTATAGCCTTATAAGTTACAGCCAAAGCATAAGTAACTCTTTTTTTTTTAAATAATGTTTTATTTCAATAAATAAAGGTTGATGTCCTGCAGATAGACTACCAGTCTAACGTTGATCTACTCAGTGTTTCGAAGTGCAGTGAATCAAAAGGTCATGATAAAAGGTAATGACTCAAAAGATGACTCCTTGAAGGCTAGCTGTGGGAGTGTCTCAAATGGTACAATATATATCACCAAGAGCTCAGAGAATCTGCTTAGCTGGCAAACTGGATTATTACATGCCTCTTTGAAATTTGTGGGGTAAGTATTCCTCCAAGTAAAATATCATTTCTAGTTTGTGTTCTTCAATATGGAAAAAAAGGAATGTTATGTTTAAGAACTGAAGTTAAGCTTAAAAGGTAATTATGAGACAGTTATATGAAAAGTCAGCATATGCAGTAATTTTACCTTGCCTTATCAATATATCTTATACTGTTTGACCGCCAAATACTTTTAGGTGTGCAAAATATGGATGCTTTGAGTACAAATACATCTTTTTTTTTTTTTTTTCCCTGGAAATCTTGTGTCACATTAAAACTGCTCTTTTATAATTTTAATAATTATCTTGGGAATAAAGGCATTTCTCTTTTCTCAGTCTCCCTCTCTGGAGAGCAGAGGTGAGGTACAGTATGATGACTCAGGGTCTGTGGTTCCACCATCATTAGCACCAGATGCACCTCAGGCCACATAACCACATCTGCTCCAAACTGGATATGCTACTATTCCTCCAACTTTTAACTGCTCTAGAGATACAAGAACAGTATGCAACTTTCTTGGTCTTATATTCAAAAGAGAATGACTGCAAGTTTCAGTGACTGTCCTTAACATGTGCAGGACTTGTGCCTGCCTGAATGAAGGCAGCTTTACGCTGTTTCAAGCCATACTGCCAAACCCCATATTTATAAGATATATATGTTTGTGCTTTTTCTCAACAAAAAAGCATCAGCAGACACTAAATGTCTGAAACAGGACTACAGGAAAGAACCCCCCTAAATCTATACTTTGGCATCTAAGCAACTGGCTGGGTTAGCAGAGCAACTTACTCCTGTTATTACTATAAAGTACAGGAAAGGCTGGTTGTACTAAGCAACTGTAGGAAGTACACTAAGAATATGGTGATTTAAAGATCCAGAGCATGGTCCAGAGCAGCCACAGAAGAAATGAAATATGGTTTGCATTGTCTCAAAAATCATGAAGAGTCCTCTGGATCACAACAGGGAAAGTCATCCATGTTTTATTTGTCATACTGAAGCATGGATGAAACCATCTATTTTCTAAAAGGCAAGTACAAGACACTGTCTTGATGTTGAGCTATTGCTGAAAGAAAACAAGGATGCATTCAGAGATAAATGGGTCAGAAGTTAAATATTTCTAATGATCAGAGAATACATAGGGTTCACATTATTCCTTGATCATCATGACAAAAACATCAATGAAATAAGCAATGAACCAGCAGTTTTGGGGCTATTTACAGTATTTTTTTTAAGACAAATGCTACATATCACCACTGTCCAGTCTTATTTCTATTTGCTTCAGACATCGCTGATTTCACAATGGGCTCCATCAGTGCAGCAAATGCAGAATTTTCTCTTGATGTATTCAAAGATCTTCGAGTCCACCATGCCAGTGACAACATCTTCTATTCCCCCCTGAGCATCATTGCAGCCTTGGCCATGGTTTATCTGGGAGCAAGAGGTAACACTGAGTATCAGATGGAGAAGGTATGTTACTTAAATGGACAAACTCCTTTTGACCCCATGCAACACAGTCCATTTGCACGTTTGTGACTCTTTCCAACTGAGGGGAGAAAGTCACATATTCACATTTGGCACTGGATCCAAATCTGCCTAGAAAAAGAATGTCGTTCCAAATCGTAAGATTTCAGTCGGGAGCCAAGTTTCAATTACCACTGCTTTTCCCCATGAAGGGCAAAAAGCACCTCTGGTTTCCAGTAAGAAAGAGTATTCTTGAAGAATGGTTCTCTTGCTTCAGTATGTATTATCTCACAGACGTGATTCTTTTCAGGTGGAAAGGACAACTTGTCATATATAGAAGAGGAAACACTCAGAAAACAGAGGCGCAGTTATAAATACAATAAAGTAAGGTTGTAGCTAGCTTGTAGACTGAAGACCATTAACTGGAAAAGAAGGGAGCTGAGCTAAACAAATTGTACAACTTTTTGGTGTGGCACATGCAGTAAAAAAGCTGATTTAAAACTCACATGAAACTTCCCAGTTCATCTGATGTGCTAATCTGACCTGGTTAGTCCAAACTTAGTTTCAACACAAACATCTGTGACTGTCATTGTACTTCAAGAACTTAATTTCTTCTATTGCTACTTTCAATTGCAGGTTCTTCACTTTGACAAAATTGCAGGACTTGGAGGAAATATTCAGACCAAGGTACAGAAATCTAAGGTACATTTATTTCTTTTTCATACGTTTCTTCTGAGAATAGACTGTTCTGACTGTGCTTCAAGTAGGCTCAACACCTTCCCAAATGTTTGCTAATGCTCTGAATTTAATAGATTTAAGTTAAAAAGCATAAAAATACAGACACCAGAACAAGTGACAGGACAGGATAGAATGCTTTGGGCACCAGGCTACCTTCTTGTGTAGACGAGCATCTGCACACCTGCAAGTGCTGCTGGGGGACAGCACTTGAAAGAGGCTCAGCACCTGGAACCAGGGTACAGTGGTCAGTCTTGCAGCTGAGACTCCAAAGTGGGGCAGGAAGGTGCTTCAACAGAAAAGATCCCGGGTGCTGCAAGCCTGGAAAGTAACCATGCTCTTCCAAAAGCTACAGGGACTTTATCAGCCTCTGATTCCCACTGCTACCCCAAGAGCACCATGAGTGGTCCAAGTACCTTGGTACTACCCGTGTGCTTTGCTCCGTGTTAATCTTGCCTCTGTAAAGATCAAACCAAGCCATGCTCCCTGTTCTGTCCACATTGACTTGGGATCCACAAACACAAGGTGGGACTTGCAAAGAACAATAAGACTTTTTTTTAAAAAAAAAAAAAGGAGAAGAAAAATAAAGGTAATATCAGCTAGACCATTTAGTGGCTGGTTAAGCATCTAGAAAGGAGCAATTTGACACAACTCTCCTCATAAAATGTAGCCACTGTTTATCATTGCTCATTTTTCTTACATGTCTGCATCACTTGGAACACTATTCTTAGGGCATTAGAGAGGTGATCCATTTTTTCACTATATTACGAGACATTTCCTGACTACCTTGTCATCAAGTACTTTTCTCTCATCTGCAGCTTCAGCAGAAAGCTGCCATGAAAATGCAAACAGAAGCCCAGAACTAGAGGCTCTTTGTCTATGACAACTCACCTGTGAACACCTGAATTTTCATTTTGATCGTCTTATTCCTGAATTATACTGTTTCACATTCATCACTCACGTTTTCCTCTTGTTTCACCTAAAATGAGTGTCACAATATGCTCTGAATTAATTGTGCATCATTAGTTGCTAATATTGAACATCCATCCCACAGAACTTTTAGACTATAGTACATGTTCATTTGCAAATGTCAAAACAATGTGCATTGTCTCATGTTATTTGTTCCTTATAAATAATCCTCTTCCTAGTAAACTAAGCTAACAGTGATACTTTTTTATGTTTTTATCATCAACTCAGTGTGGAAAGTCTGTGAATATCCACATCCTGTTTAAAGAACTTCTCTCTGATATCGCTGCACCAAAAGCCAATTACTCACTTCACATTGCCAACAGACTCTACGCTGAAAAGACATGTTCAGTCCTACCGGTGAGTTGCACATTGCAGTGATGTCCTACTAAGCTCTGCATAAACATGTAATCCAAGAGGATTGGCCAGAAGACGTGATCTGTTAATCCAGTGGTCCCCAATGGTGTGGACTTCCGTGGCTTTTCCCTTTGCTGCAGCCTTGACAATAGCCTGAATGGAAAGCAATTCCAGGCAAAAAGATGGCTCTGTTGAAAAAATTAATGGAGTCATAAACAAAAATATTTGGCAATGTGATTCCACCCTCCCTGCTTGCTCCCCTGAAGACTTTTCGTTTTCATGTAGGGTGATTGTTTTATTTTTTTCAGGAAATAATTTGACTACATTTCTTCACTTGAAAACCTCACCGCAAGATCAACTTTCGAAAGTGGCAAAATCTTTCATTTCACATTTTCAAAACAAAAGATAAAAATATTCTAAATCAAAGAAACTTAGCTTGAAAAATAGGAAAAAATGCTTTAAAAAATGAGTGAACACTGATAATAAAACACTCCGAAATGAACATGAAACAGTGGTTTTGGATCAGGTTTCCATCAAGAAAATATTTAAACATTTCTAATATACACTCTTAACTGTTGAAGTAATAAAAATATAAGACCTGAACATGTCATGGATAAGTCTACTTTTTCTGGCACAGTTCTAGCAGGTTCTTCCAGGATGAGGACAGACTAACCATGGCATCACTACAAAAACCCTTTTGGCCTTATTTTATTTCCTATTCATACTATTTTTTCAAAAATTACTAATTTGGTGGCTACAATTGCTGTCTTTACAGATCTACTTAAAATGTGTGAAGAAACTGTACAGAGTAGGTCTAGAAATGGTCAGCTTCAAAACTGCATCAGATCAAGCCAGACAGCTCATTAATTCCTGGGTAGAAAATCGGACAAATGGTAAGGTCAGACAAGATTTTCAAATATACTTCCTTCACATAATGATATTTGAACAACTTCTGGAAAGAGTAAGAGGAGAAATTTCCTCCTCCCACTCCCATTAGTGAATTTTTCCTGCGGAAAGGGATGGCTCTACTGGACCTGTGTAGCAGTGACAGTGTATTTTAAACCTATCTGGCAAAGGCAGACATGCCAGGATAAACACACTTTTTATGTCTTGAAAGCTTAACTCACACAAGGTTTGTCCCATCTTCTCTAGAATACTGGCAAGAATTTACAAGGATGTTCAGGATGGGTAGGAATTGGGCTTCCAGAGGAGAAAGGATTGTGTGCACTAGGTTGATGGTGGGCAAGGAATGATTCAGGAGCTTGTGCACCTTTATTGTGCTGAGGTGGGAAGAAAAACAAGAGTGAAGTGTGAGAAAGGAGCACAGTGAGAAACAGGAGACCTATATTACTGCTTCCAACTGCCGTTCCTGTTTTTCTATGTAGATCTTTTCCCAAACACTGGTTATAAGTATTCCTGGGGGTGTACACCACTCTTGAATCTACCTGTCTTATGGCCGAAATGTGTGGCACACTACTGCTATGAAACTTACCACTCTGCCCTGCTTTTTCCTTAAAGGACAGATCCAAGGTTTCCTTGAGCCAGGCTCTGTTGACCTTGATACTGTGCTGGTCCTTGTGAGTGCCATTTACTTCAAAGGGATGTGGAAGACAGCATTTAAAGAAGAGCACACCCAGGAAATGCCCTTCAGCATGACAAAGGTAGCAGGGCACAGACATGGCTTCTGTCCAGAAGTCAGGCTTGCACAGCCAGCAGTCTAGGTGTTACACATGTACAACATGATATGGTCATTGGCTGGCTGATTTAGCTGGGCCCGTCGCCCTCGGGTTTGCTGGAGTTGTGACTGCCTGAGGCATATCATCAGTCAAGAGAGGGAAGTGGAGACACAGCTCTTCTTCAGAGAATATATGCTTGAAGATTGAGTCCTGTCCCTTTCAAAGGGCTTGTACAGTTGCTTGCCTAAAGTCAAAGTTGCTCCCTGTTTTCGCAGCGAGAAAGCAGACCTGTGCAAATGATGTGTCAGAACAGTACCTTCAGAGTGGCAGCAGTGGCTGCAGAGCAGATGAAGATCCTGGAGCTCCCGTACGCCAGCGGGGAGCTGAGCATGTTGGTGCTGCTGCCTGATGCCATCTCTGGCCTGGAGCAGGTATGGCCCTGGCAGGGAAGGCAGAGGAGTTGCCACTCCAGTGGGACCTGGCTGCCACCAGACCGTTTGCTGTCCATTCACACCCCAAGTGCCCACACCATGGCTGTGCTGAGCAGACAGGGGAGCACAAAATCCCCCCAGGTGCTTCCAGGTGCTCAGGCACAGACTAGCCCCTTAGGATTCGGCCCTGGACTCCATCTAATAAACCAAGAGTAAGGGAGCGTGGTGCAGCTCAAACACTGCAGAAGGGGATGTCACTGTATTCACAGATCTCCATCAGGTACCAGAAACAGACATGCTAGCGGGTTTTCTCATTTGTTTGTTTGTTTGTTTGAAGTGATTTCAGTCTTCCAGGAGAGCACTAAATGGTTTGTGAAACAAGAAAAAATTATCAAAGGGGAAATAACTGGAAATGATAAAGAAAGCATTCCATGAGCTGACTAAAAGGAAAATGGGGAAAGTAGCATTAGAAAGGAACTAAGGTGAGGAAAGGCACCAACAAGGTATGATCCAGGAGAAACAGTTCTGGGGCCAATTTGATTTTATATTTTCACCACTAAAGCCTTGATGTGAAGAAGATATTTTCAGATAACTAAATGTTGGAGACCTTCACTGAGGCAGACGAGATATAGGCTGTAGCCAGGAGGAAGCATAAAGGAAAAACTAATACAGTAAAGATTGGATATTAGTGTACACAAAGTAAAAAACAGTGACAAGTGCTATAACCACAGCTGTCGAGACCATTGCAGTCTTGTCTCAGGCATTTCATTTCCTGTCTCTCTTTGCAGCTTGAGAACAAAATCAGCTTTGAAAAACTCACAGAGTGGACTAGGCCTGATGTGATGGAAAAGAAGAGAGTGAAAGTGTACCTCCCACGCATGAAGATGGAGGGGAAATATAACCTGACGTCTGTCTTAATGGCCTTGGGTATGACTGACCTGTTCAAGCCTTCGGCCAATCTGTCTGGCATCTCCTCAGCAGAGAGGCTGAAGATGTCTGGGGCCATCCATGAAGCGTACATGGAGGTCAGTGAAGAGGGCACTGAGACGGCAGACTCGGAGGGTGTGGTGGAAGACATCAAAGATTCCCCTGAGTATGAAGAGTTCAGGGCTGACCACCCTTTCCTTTTCTTGATCAAGCACAATCCAACCAACGTCATCCTCTTCGTTGGCAGATATTGTTCTCCCTAAGAAGAAAAAGAGCTGGAAATAATGCTTGCCTTCTGCTCAGAAACAGACCCCATTTACTGTAGTATCGTAGCACAATCTCCTTGCTTCAGTATTTTTTCCAAGTAGATAGCCTTCAATATGTAGAGAGATATTCTTGAAGAAGAGTGTGACTTTTCAGATGTTTAGGTGCAGGTATTTCCGATTGCACAACTTGTGTTCAGGATGTATACCCAGGATTAAATGAGAATTTAAGGACGTATCTAATGAATATTTCTGTCCCATCATCATTGAGCAACTTGACACACAGGGTGGGTGTTCTGATTTTTTTGTGAGAAATCCTGACACTGCTATTGAGAATCTGGTTTCTGTGTAGGAGTTCTGTGAAAAAAACACAGCATTCAGAATATTCCTATTCCTTTCTTTTGAACTTGCTGGGCACCCATCCTTGAACTGATGCCTGGACAACTTGCAGATGAAATTCTAAAACTTCTAAACTTCAGCCAATTCTTCTTCCAGGAATGCATTTGGGCTTCTTTGTGCTGAACATAGTACAAGGCTGTGTCTCTTTTTTCTGAGGAAGCATACAGAAAGTCTATAATTTCTTCATAAATCATCATCTCCAAATACAACATCTTCCCAACTGATGTAATTTCCCATCTTATGCCAGTGACATAATAACTGATTTTGTGAATGTTAATTGGTGGTCCTATTTATTCTAATAAAAGCATTGCAAATGAAACACATCATTATCTGTTCTGGATTATTGCACCACACAACCTGAAACATCATGTCATGGCAGTGATTATTTACAGAAATGGTTTAGGCTAGTATTTAGATCCTATTTTCAAAACCAGGAGGTACCTGTGTACCAAGTCACTAAAGAATCGATTTTTTAAGAAAATTTGGATCTTAAGCAAGGTAAACCCTCACTTAAGCCAAACCTACAGCTCCTTTTCTCACCTTGAGCTTACTTCTATATGGTATATCAAATAAACAATTTTTTTTAAATTAATTATTGTATTTTCAGGTAGTTTTAAAAGCTTTCCTCTGTGTGTCCTTAGCTAATATATAAAGATGATGCCTAAGAGATATAACTTAAAAAAAACACAAAAGGAGAGTGTTTCTCTTAAAAGGTGGACTGCTTCAGTTCTCTTAATACCCAAGAATTAGACAAGAAAATCTTTCTTAATGTATATAATAGTACTCTAGAGATGTCATTTCCTATTTCAAAGTCTTTAGAGGGAAGGTTCTTTAGGTTACACTTTATCCAATTAAAATGATTATTAGTATTAATTGTGAATGAAGTAATCTTCCTTCTGCTCAGATACACATGCAGAAATTCAAATTACAGTATCAGTATTTAAATAGTGCTTCAAAAATGAGATACACTGAGGTATTTGGAGTAGACTCAACCATTCATAAAGTCAGCATTAAATATAACTTTAAGTCATGATGCTGGAAGCAGAGAAACAGGTTTTTGTAGCTCCTAGGAAGTCTACAGGAGAACTGCAAATACTGGTCTGCCCAACACAGCCATGAAAGACTACCTACAGCTAACAAAAGTATTCAAACAAAAAATTATTTCAAGAAATATGACATTTCCAGGTTTACTGTGTACATTATGTTTGGCTTCCCTGGTAGCCAAAAGCAATCCACAGAATTTTCCTGCAAGTAAACAAAACAAAACAAAACTCAGGAATTTTAAAATACTGTCATAATGAGCAGTGTGTACAGCTATTAAACAATTATAAAACTGTCATTAAAATGAAAGAAGCATGTCTGACTGCACTTTCCAGGCACAACGACAATAAAACATTTATTGTGGAAGCATTTATTGTATAACATGAAGAAAAATCAGCTATTCTCTCGTTTAATCATTTGATTCTCTTGTTTAATCACTTGATGATTATTTTGAAGCAAATAAATGGGGAAAATCAAGGATGAAATTGCAAAGTGGCTTCCTCAAGCTACACGAGAGAGGTTTTCAAGGCACAGAGTCCACCTGATGTCCTCACTGTGGAACAGAACTGACTCGTTCTAAATCGGGCCATTCGGTGTCACTAGGGATATGAAGTGATGTCTGTCAGTCTTCTGAAAGACATCTGTTGAAAACTAGGTTTGGGACTTGAATGTAGATTCCCATTTTGTTCTTATTTTAATTTTTGTGCAAGTAGATGATGCTGATTGATATACTGAATGTGTCGTTAGTCTACATTTTCAGTAAAATGCAGATTCAGAAAAGATGGATAAAATCTACACCCCCATCCCACTATGCCTGTGCACTGTTGGTCTGGCCCTGCTGTAGAGGCAGAAGACTGCTGTACGTTGAGGAGTTAGTGACCCACATAAAAATTGGCCTGAGCAGGCACGGGCGTGTGCTGTACTCTGCTGGGTTATACTGCACGTACAGCTTGGTCTCCAGGCCTATATTATGTTGAACAGACCACATGGCTGTGGGATAAATTTGCCTGCTGAACATAGTGGAGGAGCTCGTAGATGGTCGTGAACTGGCAGTTGGTGATGTCTCTGCTAGCACAATTTTGTCTTTATCTTGAAGTGAATCAGCATGTTTCTATATACTTCTCTTTGACAGTAAAAATGATAAACAGAGTTGTTTATTTCTAAGAACATACCTATAAAAGCTGTAAACAGCATGCCAGCAGTGAAGCTCTGCATGTGTGGGATATGCACAGTGAACTGTGCCCTCAATAAAGATCCATCCAACGCTGCACAGCTTGGGGTTGAAATTGCCTACACTATGTTATCTCCAATAAATTGTATTTTAATCAGTTTCTTACTAGTGTTTAAAATGAGTACTTGCAGTGGTGCATTACAGGGTCTGTCTTGGTGAGGTTCATGGCCAGCCAAGTTAGGAAGGAGTACAATCAAAAGACTCAATTTAAATTCGTGTCTCAGGTGAGGGGAATGTGGACCTCTATGAAGGCATCTCACAGCTCTATCACAAAGAGCTCTCTAATTCAAGGCTGAGCAGTTGCTTCAGATGTGCTTGAGCTCAGGCTGAAAAACTCTTAAGAGAGAGATGGGTGATGTTCTCAAGAGCAAAGGTTTCTGAAGTCCTGGATGATATGGAGACAACAGAGACATTATCAGCATATCTTCTGACAAAGGAAATTAAGGGTATTCAAAAAAGTTAGAAAGCACTTTAAAAAAAAAACAAAACCACACACAGAGATAGCTGAGAACAAACAGGTAGCTGAATGAGGGACCTCATTCATCTCAGTCAAAAGATGCCTGTGATGATAAAATTTTACATGATTTTAAAGGGAGACTGGACAAAACCATGGCCACACCTAGGGCCTCTGCTCACACCTATGGGCTCAAGAGCTCTAAGCTATGCCCTGGAACTTCAGTCTCTGTGCTACATCTGAGATTTTTCAGTCTCTAGCTCAAACAGGACTCCTAGTATGACCTTGGCCCTGTCTTGTGATCACTGGACCTGAAACTATCTCTGATGTGTATGCTGACTTTATGATGTCTTTGGATCTACCTAATAGCCATGACATTGCCTTATGATCCAGACTCTTGGTTGGAGCCGCCTGTGAATCTCTGGGCCTCTTCTGCTTAGGTCTTGTGGGACTGAGCCCTGGCTGGTGAGGCTCCTGCCCTGCTGGTTGTGGGATCCTCCTTGTGTCCTGGTTTGTCTTTCCTTGGGGAAAAGCTGGCCTTTGCTGCTTCCTGGACATCTTGCTCATCTCTTCTGAGGACCAAGAAGCCTGGTCTTTGATCACGCAGGGCCTTTTACTCCCCACAGCACTCTCTCTACTCAGACCCAGGCTCTTTCCTCCCAGACGGACCCTCCTTTCCCCCCAGCTTGTGCCCAGCCAGCCTCCAGGGCCCATTGGGTTAGCCTGACCCTCTCACTCAGATTCTGACCTCTCCTGCCACGTCTCTTTCCAATCCACTGTCCCTGCCCTTGCTTTATGTGCACTGGAACAGCCCCTTAACATCCCCCAGCCACTGAGGCACTCTAAAGCGAGTCCCTTCTGAGCCCAGGTCTCTGTGAGGAGCGAGGACACATCTTCCTCAGAGGGGAGGCCTGTTGCAGGCCTGTGGGATATGATCATTGAATGTTATGTTGTGAAGACCACATCAACATATGCCAGATCAAATAGGCATGGGGGAGCATTAAGAAATCATCAGCTGTCCAATGAAGGCTGAGCCCATGTTAGGTTAAAATGAATGCAAGACCTGATAAGGGATATCAATTAAGAGCAATGGCAAATGCCCCTGCCACAGTCTGTGAGATACCAAGGCAGCACTGCGGGCAGCAATGTCCACCTCTCCTGAATGGCAGTGTTGCTGTAGAAAGGTGCCAGGTGGGATACAAGCTCCTGTCTGGGGGAGTTTGACCGGACTCCTCATTTTCTTTGAATGGGGAAAAAACACAGTCCCATAGAAAAACTGAGAGAGAAACCATCACTCACGACCACAGCACCAGGGTTTACAATGACAATCCGATGCATCACTCTGGGTAAAATTATTTCTCACTCTGTGAACGGCAGCTTCTGTTCCTCATTGAAAGACAGCTTCCCGATTCACAACGTCAAATGAGGAGAAACACAAAACAATTAACATGCTCCTTCCTACTAGCAAAACAACAAGAATAAGGAGAAAAAATATTGAGTTCTGTGTAGGTTGTTGTGATTGGATGAAAGGCTTTGGTCTTTGAGCTGACCTGGACTTCATATCCTATTGGAAAAAAACAAAACAATAAAACAAAAAGCCTTTAATACTCTCAGGTGCCAAGGCTCAGGTACTCAGGAGTCAGTAGAGTTAGGGACAGCTCCACAATGAAATGCCTGGCAGAGGAGAGGGCAGCAGAGCCTTAGCTGACCTCTTTCTTGGGACAAGCATTGTCAAACAAGGATCTGTGACAGAACTGTTTGTACTGCCTCACACAGCTCTGCTGAACAGGACAATCCATTGCCTCTTGTTCCAGGTAGCCTTCCAACTGCTTACTCTTTCTAGACCCCAGGTCAAGCAGACTATACAAGACTTTT